ATGTCCCTGGCGTCCCACGAGAGCATGGAGGAGATTCGGGAGGCGGTGCAGGAGAAGATGCTGCAGAGCAAGGACACGATTTGCCGGCGATTTCCGGAGTTGCCATTGGAGAGAGTGTTATGTGCATGTGTATTTATATATCCATGATATATGGTGTGTCTATCTATCCAATCTAACCTCATCTAATCTAATCTAATGTAATCTAAGCTAATCCAACCTAATCTAATCTATCGATCTCTCTTCATATATATATATAGGGATGATATTTCATGTTTGTTGATTTCCTCGAGTCGACGACGATATGTTTTCTCATTGGTTACCATTTGATTTGGATGATTACCTGGCGATGTTAGATGAATGGGTTACATGGGTTATTTTGTACATATATTACATATATATATATATCATTTATTTACGTATATATATATAGAGAGAGAGAGATAGAGATAGATACATACATGTAAAGAGATAGATATGTACATCACAACATATCATAAGTTATTACCTGGTGAGAGTAGTGCGCATATATAGGTTAGGAACCTTGATTGGAGAATTGGATCCGTGTAGGCGAAGTTCACCGAACATTTTATGGGGAATGGATGATGGAGATACATATGGAAAAAATTTGCGATTATATGGCATATGATTCGGAGGTCAGTGAATTAACCGAAAGAGATGCCAGTTTGCTGGAGGTTATCCCAGTTAGATTTGTGCGCTGGCGACAAAAGTCAGTGATGGCCTCAACATATATCCATGTTAAGCCAAAAAAAATATGGGAAGTGATTAACACTAGCCTATAGTTACTATAGTTCATTTTTGACGGGTGCATCCCGGGAATTGTCACTGGCACATTTTTTTTCAGGGCTGCCAAGGTGACCAGCCTCTGAGATGGCAGCTCTAAATGATTATGGGTGTACTTGTATAATGATAATGTATTTGTATCAAAATAATATATGTATAATATGTACTTGTATAATAAATGATGATCAATTACTATTTATCATCATGTATCATAATCTTGCTGGTGCTTAGCAAGGGAATGATTCCCATAAACACTAGTAATAATCATCCCATTCCCCAATTCCCTACTAAGAACCAGTAAGTAATTGATAACCGTCCCTCCTAGAATGGCAGTCTTTGGGCCCTATCCCCACAAGGCATGTTGCTCCCAGAAGGTCATGGAGTTGTCACCGGTCGTTGGTCGGAAAGAACGCTTGTCTCAACAGGATTCCAAAGGAATGAAATGACAACGCTTTCCTTTTGATACAGAACGTGTGTATATATATATACATATACATATACATATATATATATATATACATATGTATATACATATATATATATATATATATACATATATATATATATACATACATATATATATATACATATACATATACATATATATATATACATCCCAACACTTATATAAACCCCAGCATTTACTTATGTCCCCCATTTATTTCTCTGGGATGGAGCAAGGACTTGCTGGTGCCGTAGCAGCAATGGGAGCGATGGGAATGTGGTTTTAGGGTCCAAGGGATATATTATATAGATAAGATCAGATCAGATTAGATAAGATAAATAGATAGATATCATGCTATTATTATTACCATTATCATTTTGATTATTTATTATTATTGAATATATATATATGTGTGTGTGTGTGTGTTTTTAGTAGTATATATGTATATATAAATCCCTGAAACAAAGGTTTCATCAGAACGTAATTTGTTTTCATGGGGATGTTATGGGGATACTCAATGGACAAAATAAGGTCGAGTAGGCTTTGATGGAGGTCCCTGATTTGGGGTATCCTGTACCGGGGATGGGATTGCTCCCGTAAGCGAATGGTTGAAACATGTTGAAAGCCTAACAGTGGGATAAACCGCCTATCAACTGCATGATTTCGCATCCAATCATCCACTCGAGCTACTGTCAACAGTCCCCAAATGGCTGTTTTTCAATATCCCTGTTGCCTGTGTGCATCATGTTGCACGCCATGTCGCTCCCTAATCCCCCCTGTCCCCAAGTCCCCGTGTCCCCTAAAAGTAGACCCTAAATGGTTTTTTTTTCTACATAAAGGTATGTTCAGGTCAATCTGGGCACAGTCGTTTGGCTGGTCCCGCAAAATCACCAGTCCGTATTGGGGTTTCATACCTGTGTGCTGGTTGGTCATTTTATGGCGACCCCAAATTGGCGACCTCACACCCAACAGACGAGTTTGATCTTTTAATAAATCATGGCAACAAGATATGACATATTGACTACATGCTACAGTAGCCCCAAAAAAAAGATGGAAAAAAAACAACATCAGTAAAATCCCACTTGAAATAGTGTGAAATTGAAGCTCTTCTCAATCCTTTTTGAGCGGTCCATGAAACTCTGAGGTGATTCATCCCCACGCGACCTTCAAGATCGTTTGGGATTTGTTTGGGCTGCTCGGCGAAGTCGTGGATGGAAATCCCATATTCGGTATAAGTGGCAATGTGGTGAGATGGGTATTTCATGAATTTCATGAATTTGATGGATTCGTTTTAATTATGACGATGTGATACTGTGTGAAATTGATGAATGACTATGTGTCAGAACATGTCAGTCCCGCCGTCGTTGCCCATGTCGAGTGCGCCCATTGGAGGATGATCTTCCTACTGCGTGACATTTTCTTCATTCCACTGCAGCTCTTCAACATTCCGGACACCTATGTCGCTGGGCACAAAAAAAACACACGACCTAACCCAGAGATGGCTGGGTGCTGGGCCCACATCAGAAATATGATATGAAGAAATGATGCGCAATGTTCAATGACCCAAAGAATTTTGATTACAGTTCTCCGCATCGCTAGAAAATCACTGTCTTCTGAGCTGACTGAGCTGAGGCCGAGTGTTGGATGTCGAAGGCTAATCTGTGAAAAAAGGAAGACAAAAAGATAGAAAAGTATGAACATGTGTATAACATGTCATGAAAAAAGGGTGGATGTTAGACTATTCAAAATATCCACACTCTCTTATATTTAATCCCTTCCCCCCGAATATTCAACATCCCCATCGTATCCCATGATTCAACCTGAATACGGATATGGGGGCTTCCATAAATGGGGGATCCCCAATAGCTGGATGATTTATAATGGAAAAACCCATCTATAAATGGATGATTTAGGGGTACCCCCATAGGAAACCTCCATATGTTTAATCTGGTAATTACCCCGTAGAAATGGTGATTTGACTTTTCGAGTCACTTAGTTTAGACTAAGCAAAATGGGAAGTCGACCCAGGTATTGCTTTCCATGTGCAATGAATTGAACAAGAAATCATCCAGCAGCTGGCTGCTAACCTCTAAATGCATGCCAGCAATTTTAAAACGTACCGTTTCTTGCATTTGCAGTTATAGACGAAAAATGACAACATATATGTATTCATATACACAAAAGAAAAGGTTTATCTGATATGATATTTTATTGCAAGTCCTATCCATATATTCTACATAGCAGACATAGCATATATATATAGTATATTTATATGTGCACTGTATAATATATATATATGTATAAATATGGTATACATCCAGCGTCCCTGGAGGTCATCGAGTGGTTGGACAACGCATCGCTGATCTTTTGGTCCATCGTGCGTCGGTCGCATGGGAAATGCTGGTTTAATCCATCGAACATTCCATGATTTCATGGGAAAATCATGGGAATAGTGGTTTAATCCATCGTTTTTTGAGCTTATAAAGCATAGAAAGCCTCTGGTAGTGGTGCATAGTTGTTAATAATGGTCAAGAAAGGAAAATAACCAACAATAATCTATGAATAATGGATAACAATGGGAATGTAATTGGGATATTGTGGCAAATAGTGACTTTATCCTGCGAAAATTATATGGGAAATGGTGATGTTTTACTATCAAACATAGTTTTTCAATGGGAATATCCATGAGAAAATGATCCATGAAGTTCGATGTAGCCATTAGAAATGGTGGATCTTTCCATCGTCAATAACCAGAGGGTATACCCCTGACGAGTCGTGATACCCTGTTTGGGGGCTATACGAGCCAGTGAACGGCATGGGATAAGGATGTTTTATGTGGTCTTGACAAAAATTGGAAGATATGAATGATATGAACCCAACCATGGATAAAAACGCTACAGCCAACAGCCATTTGATTCAGAGCATGCTGGTTGCTGCAAGTTTTTCGATTCGAATCCATCGAATGGAATCCAACTTCAAATCCAATCCTTGCCATATCGGGCATCGCATGATCCATTGGCTGGGCATAGTTGACCATCCAACCTCTCATATCTCAGCATCCCTTGTGGGGAGGCTTCAAAACTCCGGCTTCGCAAAACCTTCTCGGGAAAAAATCCAACTGGGAATCCCATCAGAACCAAGAATCCAAAATGCTTCCAAACTTTCGGGAGAGTCGATTGGAAAGAACCATTCAGGGTAGATGTCCAGAGTTCTGCTGAGGATATCATCTTGTCCTTCTTCACCGGTTATTATGAGAAAGGTCGTTTGGAGCTACACCACAAGAGGACAGCGACCCCCAGTCAGGCTCCAAAGAAGAGAATGTTTGAGTCCAGAAAAATTGAATGATAAATTATAAGCAATTTCAGCTGGGGATATGGTTGGTTGTTTTTCACATGTCTTTTTCTCACCTCGAATGGAATTAACGAGCCGATTCGGGGCATGGCGCATCAAGCAGCGGGGTTTTGAGATGCGGTAGAAAAGATAAGATCTTGTGGGGATCCCACTGTCAACCAGTACTAACCCACAACAGATTTCAGATCATCATTTCTCCTTCTTCGACACCATTCGCACGGTCATCGGATGTGTCTTTGTTGATAACCATTCCAGATGCTGAATCTCCGCATTCCGCCAAATTTCGATCAAGATATCATCAACAGCTTGCGCCAATCGGATTCCCTGAGATCAGATTGTCAGCGCTAGGATCGCATGCAACTACATCAAGACCTGGTTCTTCCTCGATGTGGTGGTGGTCGGAATCGACTGGTGGTTCCAGACACAGCAGAACGCTGGATCGGCTGAAGGTGGGGGTCTGAGGAAATCCTGCAAATCTGTGGTAAACCCAATAAGTAGGGGATATCTATAGTTAGATTAGATTAAAGTTACTGTATACATATATACCCCAAGAAAAATGACCCTTTGGGGTGATGGATGTTGCATAGTCCGAACAAAAACGGGAGGGTTTATAACGCCTTCACTACAATCATTTGGTGAATCATTCCATCCCCCTGATTTCCGTAGAAATGGGGAAGATTTGTTTCTAATGGGCTGCCCCATGTGAGGCCCAAAAAACAGCGAGATTCAATACATTTCAAGAATGAACTATAGCTACGGTTTCTGGGGGGTTATCAATAATGAGAAGGGTCTGCAATAAGGAGGAAAATGTGTATTTCGATCTTAGAACAAAGATGTGCCAAAAAAACAGGAGCTGTAAAATTATGTTCAGCACTTGGAAACGGTACTGTTTGGGTTCCATCTCGGTTTGCAGAGGGTTCCTTGCTAACAAGGACAAGCATCGATTCTTATCTTGTTGTTATCAACCATACGTTGCTATCTGTGAACCAGTGTTGATCCATGCTATATCACCAGCAAAAAAATAAGATATGAACAAATATAGAGATTCAGCAATCCCCTGTTGGTTGATAGGGATACAGCAGGACCATCAAGTGCGGGAAGCTCAACCCCTCTGAACGATGATCTAAAATGCAAATATCGGAAATATCGCCCCATGACATTCTCTCTCAGACTGGGTGAATGTCCTTCCTTAAGTGGCAATAAATTGGGGTATCATGTTGAGACCATCTGATCCTCGCCTGCATCGCCCAAGGGGAGCCATATCGTCATGAGAAACGGAAAAGTGGAAAATCCCTTTTAAAAAAGTAGTAAATAAATACATGACTAAATACAAAACATGATAATGAAAATAAAACTGACAGCAGAATATTTTCCCGATGTTCCCAGTTTTCTGATCAGCAGTGCGCCGCGCCAGGTGTTGCACGGGTCACAAAATCGATTCGTTCGGCGCGGTTTTTGAGGATGTTTCGGCTCATCCGCGACTTGATCCAATGGTGAAGACCGTGGGGAATTAGGGGAATTCTGGGTGTTTGATCTGTTTGCACCTAGGAGATGTGGCAACTCAAAGTTTGATCAGATCAAGGTGAGTTCACCCGAGCTTTGACGTTGATCTCCCCATTGATTTTCCCAGTCCAAGGACTGAGCAAGATGAGCAAGGCTGGGAAACATAGGGAAGTGAAAAACATCTACATAAGGGTGTTAAACATCATCCGAATATAGTATCTCCAGTATATCTCTGCAGCCGCAATTTTCTGTCCAGTGATGGAAGGAATGGATGGAACAGCCAAGATGGATCTGAAAAGGATAGAATTATTACTAATATGTAACCATCAATGATGATGAAACCGGAGGAATGCATTTTTGTCCCAAAATTGACCCAAATGGGCTCATCAATCTCCCAGTCACAAGCTGCTGATCCCAGTTGAAAGCCCATCCTTGGATGAGTCCCTTTTAGGAGAGTGGGGATGGAGCTCATACCCATCCCATATGACTTGAACCTCACTTTGATAGGTGATATACGAATGTGGATTGCACTCACCATGTTTGTAGCTTTTGACTCCATTGGTCAAAATACAAGTGAGCACACCAGTGGCAGATTCAAGCCACGTACGTCTATAATATTTTATAATGTCTACTCATTTTGGTTGGTTGATATGGCTATAATGCTATAGATCAATAGCTATAAATGTTTTTAGTTTCTACAGGGATGAACATGTAGCCATTTTTCTGTTCACCGGGTCTTTCCCATGTCGCGTGGCGAAGGTGTCCGTTTTGCTACGAGAGCAGATCAGCTCAGAGGCCATGACATGAGGAAGATGCTGATTCCTGTGGAGAATGTCCCCTTTGAAAAAGGTCATTTTTACCAGGAAAATCACCATTTCGTTGGGGGCTTTTCCATTGCCATTTTTGATTCTGGGTGCCCTATGTTCAAAAAGTGCTGGTGTCCCAGGTGAAACAGTGGTCCAAAGTCTGATGTAGATCCGAAATGGTTGGAGGTATCACATGGTTTTCATCCCAAAAGAAATGGGATCATCATCATCATCATCATCCCCAATGGATCAACTCATAATCTATCATTGTTTTCAGGGATGTGGTTCAATCATTCGGCAAAACCATCAGCGCAGTTGGGTGCTGCGGCAGGCCGGTCTCATCTACTTCGGCATTCTTTTGGTGCCCTGGAGTTGATGGAAAAACAATGCATGCCTTGATGAAATATGGTCAAAAAAATGAGGACATGTGGTCACCTATGAATATTTTACCGGGCGCCAGGTTGTAATACTGGAGGACAGGCATGGCATGAAAATTGTCAGGCTGGAATATTGGGGGTTATTCTCCTGCATTCCCACAGATCATATCCCGTTCACGAAGCATGATTCTGACCGGTCATCCCAGTGCTGAGGTGATTCTTCGAATGTTCGTTTTGCAGCATATCATCGCATGCGGTTGGTATGGGATTGGAGTAGCTTGGCGGCACCAAGACTCTACTTATGGCTGTGGCAGGGCACACAAGGGGATGGTTGATCCTTTGCAGTGGCTGCGAGTACGAGAATTGTATGCTTTCCCAGTGGTAACCCCGTTGAACCTTGGTAAAGGTAAACTTGAGCCGATGTGCAGTCGCAAATAACGCTGGTTTTGCGCAAGGCGAATCAAAATTAGATTCTAATCCATGACGGGAATCCAGGCTGTGTGAGGTATTACCAGTGCGCAGTCCCCATGCCGGACCTTCAAAAGTGTGAGAAGATGTTCGCAGATTTTGATGTTTCGGACTCGTTGATTTTGGAGATGTTTTTGGGCGGTCTCAAACTGTTTCGGTCACGGCTTCGCTTCTCGGCGTAGCAGGAAGTTCCCTGTGATCCATCATGGATCATCTGTGTGAGGATTTTGCGGAAGAGACAGAAGGAAAGAGTTGGATCTTGTGCCTCGTCCAACTCGTCCAAAATGAAGAAAACGTGACGAAAGAATACCAAAGACCGTAATCCAAACAGACTCCATGGTCAGTTTTGTCGCCAGATATGACATGACAGCAGCATTCCGTTGCTAACACGACCTGCCTCCAGATCGATGATGGATGTCCCCAGAAAGGCGAAGCGGCGAAGATGAAAAGTTGTTTCAACTGGACCTTCCACTGGATTTCAATGCCATATGGTGGTCAAAACCCTGGTAGGTACAAGGTACATCAAGGCACCACAAGTCATAGCTGGTATAGCTGGATGCTTATTCCCCCAGTATGGTAACTTGACCCATCCCCATGTATCCAAGGACTCACAGCTTTCGTGCCACTTGGCGAAGCAGCGCTACTTCGCCCCCAAAAGATCTAGGGGCCATCAATCCCCCCATGATCGGTCTGTCAGTTCATCAAGTCATTCTATCAATTTGATAACAGTGTACCAAGTTGTATGTCATTTCCATTTGTTGTTTCTAGTTATTTCTATCATTCTTTCTCATCATCTTCCGAAGAGATCTTCGGTTCACATTTTGACCGCTGAGGAGCGCACCTTCAACTATCAATATAGCACCTGTCGCTGGGCTGCAGGGTTTTTGTTGCATGAGTGTTAGCCAAAAATTGGGATCTTTCATATTGGGGTGACTAAAAACCAACCGGGATATGGAAATATAATAGGGATATATATATATATATGTACTTACTTGCGACATGAGCACCAATCCTGCATTGGCCCGCTGCGGGAAACATGGTGATCTTCTGATCTCACTTGGATCCTTGTTGAAGTAATTCTTTGCGGATTCTTATCCTCACAGTATATGTTTATCATGGTTATTAAAAAACCCTCCCAAAACCATAGGGTTTCAATACTATTTCATCATGACTGGATGATGACTGGGGGGTATTACATGGCTTCGCAAACCTCCATTTCTTTTTCCCCACCATGGTCACCACGCGGACCTCGCATTGCGAGGTCTTCATTGGGCGTTCGCCCAGCTGGGAATTGGTTCCGTGGAAATTGATCCAGCCCCTGTGCTGCAGCCGAGCCGATCCGTATGTAGGAAGAATAGGAAGTGGCTCAAAATCCATGATTACCATATGACTGGGGGAATAACCATCCAGCTATACCAGCTATTTTAGGGTACCTAGGGTACCTAGGGTACCTAGGGTACCAGGGTTTTGACCCATGACCATCTGGTTCTGTCCATGGGGTATACACTCCGATGTCAATTTCAGGGAAACTCATGATTCACTGGATTTGGAGCTACATTTTCAGACCCAATATCAATTGGATTTGGGTTTTTGATGATGGTCTTGTAAATCTAAAAGTCATGGTGACAAGGAGGAAACATAATGAAACATACACGTTTTTTTTGAAGCATTTCAGAGCATTTGCTGATGACTTTGGACTTCAATCTTTTCCAACGGCTGTCAGGAGACAACTCAAGAGCGAATCTTTTGCCCCTTGGACTCCACATATCCAAGAAATCGATGATTTATCCAACACGAAGAGGTCGATACAAAGTCAAACGAGGCGTAATAAACCCTCAGTGTAAAAATCGAGGGGGTACCAATTTTAATGGTAGTGCATCACTTTTTTCAGGGAAACACCCTGATTGATCAACAGAGTTTATGAATCCGGGCTGGACATAAGCAAGGAAACATTTAGTATCTTGGAAGCAATTGTCATCACAAGCACATGATGGTGATATCGGGCCAGGTTGAAATTGTGGCCCCAGTTGGTATAAACCACAGTTGGACGAACCATACCATTTTGGGGGCTAAAACCTATATGAATATAGCGGGTTGAATCACTCAGGTTGGTTAAATGGTCCCGGTCAGATGGGAATCTGTCGACCTCCGTCTCAATTTGGGATGCAGATCAACAGTCTTCACCTTGGTGTTTGGTTAGTAGGTCTGCTTTGGATCAAAGATCAGGTGATGATCTGGCACAGAAGAAAGGATGGACCTGACATTTCACCATTTCAATACATCACTCTTAATTGATTCCATATCCCTATTGATGCTTATACTGAATTTGCCCAAAAGTGGAATTACCCATCTGACCCACAGCAGTGACTTGGTCATGATAAACCGATGGAAGTAGGTCAGGATTTTTTGGGTTTCATGACCCATGAAGTCATGGCCATTTTCAGACAAGCCCAAACATGAAATTGGTATCGCATCGCCCATGATGTTTGGTTAAATCCCTCATGAGCTGCCCCAATCCCAAATTGGATATAGTTGGATCTATCCCCATTATAGCATTGATGTCCCCCATTCTCTGGTACGCTGAGAAATCCCCGAACCAAATGGAGGGTTAGCTCAGTTAGCTCGCTGGGAAAATCATCGAACTATTGCTGGGGAAATGTCCAGCCAGCTACGTTTGAAGACACCGGATGGCATCCCCACAATTCATCGCCATTTTTCTTGATCTTTGTTTTATGTTATTAGTTAACCAGTGTTATATCATTGAATTCATCATTGGTTAATAACCATATATCATTATTTTTTATTAACCATTGAATCATATACCATTGTTATATCATCATTAACCAGTGTTATATCATTACATCATTCATTTTTTATTGGTTATCAACCATGATATCCCCATCATATCTCCATCACTTGTGCTCCGTCCGTGATCCGCTAGGTATTGCGGTGGCCTTCGTTGGCCTCATCAGTTTCTCCACACTCGCCACTCGTTTCTTCCCGGGAAACTCGGGGATCGAAAATGTGGAAATATCTATGGAAATATCGATGTGGAAAATGTGGAATGGATATGAATGGTATAGTGAATAGTGAATCGATATGAACAGTAACATCTATGGAAAAAGAATGGAAGAGTGAATGGATATGAATGGAGTTTTTTTCCTTGTGGACGTCTGATGGAATATGGGATTTGGAGTGGTTGCCGGTGTCATGGCTGAGAAATCCCACTGAGTACCGGGTAAACCACAATTCCAGAGGGCCACAATCCTAAAACAGGGTTCACCCCATTTAACTTGCACTGAGGGGCTGGGAGAAATCCTGCAACAACTGGGTAGGTCATGCGAAAATAGCAAGCCCAAAAGATGGAGTGAAATCCTGTGAAAATAGAGGTGACTTGAAGCTCTGAATCTTTATGGGGGTTCGCTGTTTTAGTGGTGCTGTCAAGGTCAGTACCGTCACATCTCTGATGAGTAACTTGCAGAAGGCACAAGATCAGGACCCAGCTTCGGGACTGTTGGGGGGCATCTGTATCCGTATCTAATGTATTCCCAATACCATGACTGGTTGGTGGTTTGGAACATGGCTTTTATTTTCCATAATATGCTGGGGATGTCATCCTTCCCATTGACGAACTCCATCATTTTTCAAGATGCTTATTGCACCACCAACCAGATGATCCCGCAGATTCGGTGGGGTGGCGTCACTACGACTTGAAATTCTGCGGGATGTAACGATTCTCGTCGATTCTCGCGTCAGGAGCAGCAGCTCTTTCGCGATCTGCGGCATTTTCTGTGCCTTGCCGTGAAGCCGCGCGAAGCCGACCCCTGGAAGTCCTGGAAGTCCTGGAAGCCAAGCCGCTGCGCTGTCCTCTTTTGCCACTGCTCGATTCATAGAAGGGCAACCCCCTGTTGAGTTGTTGAGTTATCAATAGATAAATGATGGAAAATCATAATTTCTATGTATATATATATACATATATATATGATATGATATGATATGATATGATATGATATGATATATATATATATATCAAACCAGTCCCGAAAAATGTGTTTTTCCCCAGACTGCCATGAGGCATCAGAATGACATCCCCATCGATTTGAGTCAACGCGTGACGCGCTTCATTCAACACGCCTACCGAGCGCAGACCTCCAGAAGTGTCGACAGCGAGGTGGGAGTCCTGGGAGTCCTGGCTCGGAATTTTGGACAAAAACAAACCCAAAAACCATGGAGGTATATAATTTGGGTATATAATGGGTATATAACCAACAAACCATGGAAATCATGGAAATCATGGAAATCATATGAAACCCTATTGTCATTGGATGGAAAGTTTAACCGGAAACAATGGTTTTTACCATGAAATATGGGGGTTCCTGTAGATTTTCCCTTGAATCAATCCAATGACTTATGAAGGTCAAGGTCAAAAAAAAGTGTAATGTGGTTTAAAACAATGCCACAAAACAATCCAGGCATTCACCATTTTTATAGGTGGTGTCTTTAGCATCAAAAGTGGGGTGGTTTATGACATTGTTTTGCCCTCGAAAAAGTTTGATTTTTTGTCGGAGAGGTGGCGATTTTCGGATTGCTGTCCAAGTCGCTGAAGGCGGAGCTTCAGTGGCCCGGCGCTGATTTCATGGGGCTTCCATGGTTTTTAACATGACTTAAATTAAGATGACTTAAGCATGGAACAATCCAACGAATTCAAGGGGAATTCACCAAAGTCACCATGAAAAATATGGGAACCAACTGGATGGTTTAGTATTCATTTTTTGTGAATTGAATGGGGATATGAGCTGACCGAAGCAGCTAACAAGGTGTATTTTGTGCGGTTCCTGTCTGAGCTTGGCCATGATAGGTAGGGGATCACTTGACATCCCTCTTAGTTGGATCCCTTTTGTTAGAAGGACCACTGACAAATGGCTCATTTGGAGGATTCTAGCCAAGCCTATGTTTAGATATGTACAAACATAAATGATATATCTATCTATCTAATCTAATCTAATCCAATCGTATCTTATCTAATCTAATCGGTCTTATCCTATCTTGTCCTGCCTTATCCTATCTTATCCGATCTTATCCGATCTTATCCTATCCTATCATATCATATCATATCCTATCAATCTATCTATACATCTATCTTATCTGTATTGTCTATCTTATCTATTTTTTATCTATTTGTTCTATCTTATCTATTTTTTCATCTATCTTATCTATCTTATCTATCTTATATATTTTTTCTATCTAATCTATCTTATCTATCTTATCTACTTTTTCTATATTATATATACTATCTATCTTATCTATCTTGTCTATCTTATCTATCTTATCTATCGTATCTTTCTTATCTAACTATCCTATCTATCTGTCCATCGATCGATCTATCTATCTTATGTATTTTATCTATCTTATCTATCTTATCTCTCTTATCCATTTTTTCATCGTTCCTATCTTATCTATGTTTTATCTATTTGTTTCTATCGTTTCTATAGTTTCTATCTTTTCTATCTGTTCTATCTGTTCTATCTTATCTATCTTATCTATCTTGTCGATCTTATCTATCGTATCTATCTATCTTATCTATCTAACTTATCTATCTATCTTATCTATGTGATTTGATCTTATCTTATCTTATCTACCTATCCATCCATCTAATCTAATCTAATCCAATCCAATCCAATCCAATCCAATCCAATCCAATCCAATCTAATCTAATCTAATCTATCTATCTATTTATCTATCTTTCTATCTATCTATCTTTCTATCTATCTATCTAATCTATCTATCTATCTATCGATCTATCTATCGATCGATCTATCTATCTATCTACCTATCTATCTAATCTATCCATCCATCCATCCATCTATCTATCTAATCTAATCTATTCTTATCTTATCTTATCTTATATTTTCTTATCTTATCTATCTATCGATCTATCTATCTATCCATCTATCTATCTATCTATGTTATCTATCTATCTATCTATCTATCTAGCTATCTATCTATCCATCTATATCTATCTATCTAATCCATCTATCGATCTATCTAATCTAATCTAATCTAATCTAATCTAATCTAATCTAATCTAATCTAATCTACCTATCTTTCTATCTATACTTATATATATATAGACATATAATGAGAATAGATTATATTTTATAGATATACATATATCTGTATACGTATACATAATTATATACACACATTTATGTGTATGTGTGATGGGGAGCAGAATGGTTTTGGGACCTTATTCATAAACCTTATTGTTGTGCAAGAGCCCTTTTTCATTTGATCGGGAAGTCATCTCTTGAGATATCTTGCGCTGCCGAGGTTCACGCGCTACCGGCATTGCCTCTTTAGCTTGGCGCTCTGCAAGAAGATGTTGGTAGCAGAGGAACACAGCAATGCCGAGATGGTGGCCCAGCATGTGGCGGTGAAAACCCTCACCACGCTGCAGCGACTTGGCAGAGGGAAAAATTCATGGAAAAATGGGCATGAAATGATCATAAATGGGTGAATTCAGGATGAAGGGAAAATGGGGAGAAGGTAACCCACAAGAGTTGGGGCTGGGCCTCTGTAACCCTCCCCCCAAATCACCAATAGTTCCAAACGCAGACATGATGTTCATCGATTTTTGTCTTCATCAACAGTCCAAGTCTATATCATGCTCTATCTTTCATGATACTCCCGTCATGTCCCCATAAGATGGCTTGTTCTTTACTCACTTCAGACAAATCCTAAAGCCCAGCTTTCGCGCAGGTTGGCCCAAAACGATTTTATTTTCACCCGGGGCACCGTGGCACGGACCTGTGTCTCAGCGGTTTTCAAGCGGATGTGTCCCTGAAATGACTCTGAAGATTGGGTATATATTCCTTGGCAATAGCCGTGTCATGGGGAAGATGAATGATAAATCCATTGGGAAGAAGGGCACCTTATTGTCAGAATGTTTTGGAACTCTTCTGACCACTTTCAACGTGGAAAATCATGTTCGCAACCCAATTGCTGCACTACGCTAGCTTTCAGGGGTGATGATGGTTATGGATGCACTTGAGTTAAAACGGCTGGATTTTTTCTCTCATGGGATGTTTTAATCTTGACAGCTTGAATGCCGGGAAAGGCACGGGCTTGGGCTGATTGGGGAGTTCTTAGTTTTCTTTACACTCCAGATGCGCTTATACGCAAGTTTCTCAAAGGGCCGATCCACACATTCCTATTCATTCTTGTCCAAAAAGATAAATGAAGTTCAAACGAAAGCTGCTTGCCCATTTGCCACCCGAAATGATTATTTGCTAGCTTCACAGAGGTCCTTTGCAATTTTTCGCAACTGCATGATTTCTCTTCGGAAGTTGAAGTTGGACCGCAGGTTATTGTGCCCTGGAAGATAATCTGGAGCATCTCAGCAGAAATTCATCCACGGCACGAACCTTCCCCACCAGCCATTGGTTTCCCAATGGCCAACTTGGACGTGGGGACCCGATGTTAAGTAATCCTAAGGAATCCACATGGTAAAATCATCCCAATTTGCTATTGTTAAAATTTATTGAAATCTTGGTTTTGATAGGTTCGGAATGATGTTCCGCAAATGTTCTGAATCACCTAAATTGGATGATTCGATTCACATTCTTGCTGGTGAAATCCTAATTCATGTAAAAAAATCAGAATTTTGCTGCTGAAATCACTAGGTCCTGAGTTCCATATGAGTTCCATATGAGTTCCATATGAGTTCCATATCCATCTGAGGTATATCATCGATCGACACAACCGGAGCTCTGTATCCGTGGGGATGTGCATCGCAGAGATGGCGCTATGGACGCCATGGGTCTACCTCGGTCGCTGGGATCGGATTTTTATTGGGAAAATCATGGAAAATCCCACCGTGACATAAGTGACATGACATAAAATGGATGATCAAAAATGGGGTACACCCATGACAAAACGGAAACCTCCATTGATGGCCGTTGAGGATGTTGAGGAATTGAGGAAAATAGTGAAGCTTTCTCGAAAAACTTCCTAAGAAATGCAGATATAGAGTGGTGAGACGAGAAGAGTAGAGCGGTACACATGTAATTATGTGCAGGGGACGTAATGACAGAAGTGGGGTTCGAACCCGCGCCCTTACGAGGATAGAAGATAAGAGGAAGAGAAGTCAAGGGAAATGGATGTGAAGAGAAGAGATTTTAAAAGAAAGAGATATCAAGAGAAAAGACAAAGATGTGGCAAGAGAAATATATGGTTCACGTCTCCGGCTTTTATTCTTGCGGGAAATATCACACAAAATGCATTTTTGGATTGCGGATGCTCGCAACAGCATGTGCAATACAAAACGTGCCTCAGAGGGGCGACGGATCTCTCTGGGATGGCCAGATCGGTGTGTTTTTTTGATGATGTTGATCATGTTTGATCGTGTTTGATCATGTTTGTGCTCGTGCCTGAATTCGTGTGATTTTAGTGTGCCGTGAGCGCCTTAGTTCCAAGCAGAAAAATGAAAACGGTCATTTCGCCTATATGAACCTCCATTTTGGGGTTTTATTCAAAGCCCCCAACTAATTCGTCTTCACAATTTTGCAGCCGTCTTTTGTTCACAGCAGCGCTTCAAGTTCTGCCAGGAACCTTTTAGTACAGTAGCGTAGCATGACGTATGTGTGAGAGAGCCAGTCACGTTATTATCCCACCCTACCCCACCCCACCCCCCACCCATGAATACATGCCCCAACCGACAGCCACAGCATAGCATCTACTTCATGTGCAAGTTCACATGAACGTTAATACAGGCCCCACCCCACCCCAACAAAACACGACGGCCGTCTAAAGGCCGTGGTCCAACTATATGTAACTGAGGTTTCAATTTTGCGTTGTTTTTTTTGGTGAGCTGACACTATGCTTTTGGGGGTATGCCTGTGTCCTGGTGCCATCTGGTGCCATCTGGTGCCATCTGATGCCATCTGATGCCATCTGATGCCATTGTGGTTGTGCAATCCGGCAGCTACTTTGCGCAGTGGACTTGCTACGTCAAGACTGCTTTTGGCGGATAATGAAGCTTTGATCTCGGTGCCAAGAGAAAGAGATGTCAAAGGAAAGAGATGTTAAGAGAAAGTTTTCCTTTAGCGTACATATTATAGGCACAGACTTTGCGCAACATGCTTATTCATTTCCATGTGCATGTACAATCTATGCAATGTAACGTCATGTAGTGTAATGCAATTGTCATGTGATGTGATGTGGTGCAATGTAATGGAATGCACTGCAATGGAATCTAATGTAATGTAATTTAATTTAATGTGACATAACGGTGTGTAATGGTGCGCAATGGCATGTAATGATATGTAAAGGTATGCAATGGTATGCATTGGTATGCATTGGTATGTATTGGTGTGTATGTATGTATGTATGTATGTATGTATGTATGTATGTAATGTAATGTAATGTAATGTAATGTAATGTAATGTATGTATGTATGTATGTATGTATGCAGGTATGTATGTAACGTGACGTAAAGTAGCGCAACGCAACGTAACGTAATCTATCTTAGCGTAACGTAACGTAACGTAACATAACGTAACGTAATGTAAAAAAGCGCAAAATAGCGTAAAATAACGTCACGTAAGGTAATGTATACATATATATACATATACACCATATATGAGACCTGCCGTTTTCTTACCAAGGAAAACTGGAGATTGGACTGCCATGGACGTTATCAACCACTTGTAGTTGAGATATTTCATGGTGCACTGATTTGCGAATTGTTTTTTGTCGGATGATATTCAGCTTGGCAGAAAGGTGACAGCCAATCAAAGGTCTGTTTTCAAAGGATACCTAAGTTTGGCAATCCTGGTGTAGATGCTTCGCACTCTTTGTGTCATTTCTCCGTTCACCTGAATGTCCAATGTCCATGGCCCAGGCGGGTTGGTCTCCAAAGAGATGAGCAGATGCTCGGTGACGCAAATCTGGGACCCACACCTCTTGGAAAAGGTTCTATCGATAGGGAATTGTCCATTGCCACGTTTGCCGGGAGGCTATCTTAAGAGAACGGTCGTATTTTGCACGTGGGATGACCGTCCAACACAGTTTGCAAGACCTCAGAGAATCGTTTCATGGATTCATTGGCTGCTTAGTGCCAGATGCCAGGTATCCGTTTCCATTTTCAAGTTTAGTGGAATACAAGTCACCATCTTTCCAACCAAACACCATCAAACTGCTTATGATAATGTGTCCATCCTTTGAAAGAACATTAGTTGTCAATTAACATCAGATCCTGGATACATATCCTGTATAATCCTTGATGAAACTTCAGTTTTTGCTGGATGCGACAACCAAAGCCTCACTGCTGTCTTTTTCAGGAGTGGTGGCCATCGATGTGGAGGCGTTCTGTCAAACTGTGGCCGAAATGCACGATATCAAGGAACAGGCCATCTATTTGGCCCAGCGCCTCAGTTGAGATATGTCCTCGTTGACCGAGATGATGATTAAGTATGCTGCATTAGGATGGCTATGGGTCCAACATGTTTAGGTGGTGAATGGTTGATGGGGGATAAGGTCGATGCCAGTTATGATTTTTCCATCTAAATTGGGGATGATCATCCATAATTACCAGCAATTTTGATTTAAAATCCTGGATACCTGATCGACTGACCTTCCCCAATCCTTACCCATAATTAGCTGTGGAGCGATATCAAGCCCCGGTGGACGGCAGATGAAATAGACATGGATAGGCCAGTTTGCAAGCAATGGTGTTGTATCCAGAAATCTGGTTCACATCCCACCGCTTCACGTGTTTTGTTCACTTTTGGGTCGTGACCATAGAATCGATGTCAGTGGCAACATCGACAGTGCGTAGGGACCCATGATGTGGCTCCCAGGGCTTTCAATGGATTAGATGTGTTGAAATTAGAGTTTTTGCACCATTGTCTACAATAGGGATCGGGCTGCATTTTCTGCCAGCCGATCCTTATCCTGTTGTGGCTCAGCATTCCGCTAAGGAATATAATTGAGGAGATGAACACCGACTCTTGGACCATGAGAATATCAGGGGACGGCTGGCTTTGGGACCCAAAGAAACCATTGTGTTTACAGTTCTTTCCCTTGGAAACAGTCTCTGGGATTTCCCCCGGATGTTTTTGTTCGAAGATTCAAGGACTGCCTTGGTTGAATCTCTGCAGGCAAGTGAATTGAACGACCTTTGGCAATTCCATGTAGAGGAGCTGGGAATGGGGATGTGTTCGTGATGACCTTTGAAGTATCGGATGGTCCAAAGCCACACTTTTCGTCCATCGATCACTTTTTGAGCCGTGGCGGCCCTGGCGCTTGGCTGGCAGGACTCAAGTCAACTGGGAGCAGATCCCAGTGAAGTGATCAATCCACTCAGTCCGCTGGTGCGATACTGGGCACGTCACTTGGCTACGCGGTCAGTTTAGCTCGTGTTATTGCTACTTAATGATGGTTAACGATGATGAATCATGGTTAATGATTATGTATTATGTACTAACTGGTATTATGTCAAATGCTTCAGCTCGTGATATCTCGCGATACTGCTATTATGATGCATTAAACAATGTATCAAACAATGTATCAAACAATGTATCAAACAATGTATTAAACAATGTATTTAACAATGTATTAAACAATGTAGTAAACGCTGTAGTAAACAGTGTAATAAACAGTGTATTCAACAGTGTAATAAACAGTGTATTCAACAGTGTATTCAACAGTGTATTAAACAGTGTATTAAACAGTGTAATAAACAGTGTATTCAACAGTGTATTAAACAGTGTATTAAACAATGTATTTCTGATGTAAAAGTTGTCCTTTGTCCCTTTTTCCCTGAGGCTTCAGGGCCTTTTCAAAGTCACTGCTTCCCCGAGAAACGGCGGTGGTGCCCTCGTGAGTTTGACCATCACCCATCACCCAACGCCCATTCTGGATCTCAGTGGGTCTCATTGTTCAACGGATAGTCAATAGTCAAGAGATATTCAGGGATGTCATGAGATGAGATATGTGTTCATTGCAGTTTCGGAGTTTTTTTCCTCTTGGTCCGGCTCCAGACCAAGCTTGCCTTTGCAGAAATACTGTAAATACTCAGCAAGATCAAAGGAAAAGGTCACCAATGTTCAGAAGTAGCACTTTCAACGTTCAACGCACTTTAAGAATCTCTAAGGTACATCAAAAAGCGTTGGGTGATGGTTCACTGATCTACCTTTTTTGGTATCGATGCAATCTGCGCTGTGTATCTCTCAAAGAGAGATGAGCTCACGAATCATCGCCGGACACCTGTTGGTTTCGACTACAGGCCCTGAAGCCTGAGATCTAGATGATCAACGAATGTTCAATGTTTACCATGTTTACCGTGTTTCACCAGTATTTTGGGAGGCTATATTCGCATTGACCTATGCACCAGTGCAAAAGTGATGCATCTTGGAAGTTTCCACGGTGTCCGATGTCTGTGCCATGGCACTCTCAGCTCCCAAGGAGCAGCCCGGCGCCTCCACGGCTTGCATCTGTTGCGGATATATAGTTGAGAAGCTAAAGTTGTTTTTCCTAAAAATGTTGTTTAAATTTGAATATATTACCCAAACTGATCAAACTGATCTTGGACTATAGTCCTAAAAAAGGTTGTTAAAAAGATGAATTTCCTGCAGGGTGAACATCCAGAACTGGTTTCCATCTAGTTTGGTGCAACCTGGAATAAAACCTCAGGTTGGTTTCCATCTATATCTGTGCTGATGGTTCTGATAGACAATTTATTTCGCGACATATCTCGGCATATGTCAGTCGTGTTTTGGTACCGGTATTGGTGGCCTGTACCTGTCTAGACCTCTGGACATAGAAATAGATGATCCCAGATCTCTCAGGGCAGCTGGATTGTTTTTTCTTTGGTTTTTTGTTGGAGCACCCAGCTGTACTATACTTGAGACCGCATGTGCAAGCTGCTAATACCGAATGTGCCCGGAACATAAATTTTCAGTAAAAAGGTACGCAGCAAATCCATTTTGTTCACCCCGTGTATCCGACACTTTTTTGCATCTACAAGATTGAAATACATTTCTTCCGTGGAGAGTCGCTTGAGTTTTGGCAACTAAGTAGTGAGTCCTTCGCTCCAAGATGCCGTAAGTTCCTAAGCATCAGAATTTTGTCAGCTGAAACAGTGAATGAATGCTTGCAACGTTTAGGCATTTGAATTTAGCTTCAATCTCTCCTAAGGGTCCTAAGCTTGCAAAGCACTGCATTTAGTACTTTCAAAGCAGCACTCTGTCTTCAGCGGACAGGTGTTTTGGAAGATCGAGCTGCCATCCGCGAGATCGTTCTGCAAAGTGTGGAGAAAGAAAAGGCAGGGTCTGGCAGGGCCTGGCAGGGCCTTCTGAGCCTCCTGTTGTGTCTCCAGATTTTTGGGGTCTGGATGACCGTAGCATGAAAGAACCGAAGCAGGAAAGGAGGTTTACAGGATGAAATCTAGCAGCAAGAGTGTTAGGGACCCACAAAACCTTGATTTCAGGTCCAAATACCGCTAGCATTGGTGCTGAAAGTGAGGTACTTGTGTGCCTCTTCCACGTCAGCAACTTCCGATCATACACAAACGAGTAAAGACTTTGAAGCGCAACTCCAATTGTCTTCGCAAAGGACTTCAATTTTCATCAATTTTCGGGATTCCTCCATGTTGTGCCTTTGTGCCCGTTGCCTTCCCTTTTCTGTTGGTCATTTTTTTTTGTGGGGGTAGATGAACAACGGGTTGACAAAAAATTGGTTGGTTGTTGGTGCTTTCAAAGTGTGTGAGTTTTCCAACCCACCCGGACTGCTCCCAATCGAAAAGCATATCCTCGGGTGATTGACCGAAGATTTCCGCCGATCTCCCAGGCGAACCAGGAAGCCTGAAGGAGCACAAGCTACATCTTGCATCACAGAAATGCCAGAGGGTGATCTGTCCTAAAAGATGGATGTTTGATTGAAAAATGTTGGCTCGAAAGGAGTCATCATGTGCTTTGAGCAAAGCTGGTCTGAACTACTTTCAAGTAGGACTTGACGAAGTCATCATGCCATAGATTCTATTAGCATGCGGCCTTATCCCCAAACAGCAGGTTGGGGTTCTTTTTGAACAGAAAATCCAGCACATGTCTCATGCCATGACAGAAAGTTTCATCCACTATGAGAACTGTGCCAGTCTCTTCTCTGAAAATGTTGCGTCATGTAGCCACCAATGATCCAGCACGAACCAAGTCCTGCTTTATTGAAATGGGGGGTGCAACGAGAATTGGTTCGTTCTCCCCATCGATAGTGAATCCCCTGGAGCTGAAGAGCCCAAGTATCACATGGTCACTATTCGTAACGCACTAAGGCTGATGTTTATTAATCAGATGGTTACATTTGAGGGATGGTTAGGATCTTGGAGTCCAAAGTCTGGTCCCAATCGTTTCATCTGCTCAGGAGTTTCTTGGCGAAAGAGCGATTCATTGCTGTGAGGAGCAATTGTGCAACGGTGGAAAAAGTGATTAGTTCTAAGATGTTCTGAGTGATTGTGTTGCCATTGCAACTTGAGGGTTGTAAGAAGATTGTAAGAAAGGATCACGTCCAATTTGTGAAGCTTTCCCCGGTGCCATGAGTCCAGAGAATTTTCCAGCGTTTTCTTTCGAAAAATGCAAGCATTGAGTTCACTGCATCCGTGTCTCCAAACGTGGCATAGCCAAAGCATCTTGTCTTGATTTCTTTTTCAAAAACTACGCTTTCGGATTTGGCCACTGTCCTTGTCCTACTGAAATGTCTACAGCTTCGAGTTCGGCAGATGCAGTCCGATTGGATAGCCTGAGGTTTCCCGCAAGGCTTTGGCCAGAGTATGTGCAACTCTACAACCATTTTGTTCCATTGATATCATGCTTTGGGGTCGCTGAAAGCCTCCCACCCAGACGTTGCGGGATCCTTGAAAAGATGAAAGGCTCACTCTCAGTGATGAAATGAGTCATCACCGATTGCCATCCGCTACGCAGGCGTTTGAGGAAAACATAGCGGAGCGCGGGCGAGATAGGAGGATAATCCCACTTACTCGTAGGATCTGCTCACTTTGTGGGGTTACAATCCAGCTCTAAATGGGATAACCCCAGGGGACTTATTGACCAGAGTTCTTTACCAAGTATTGAGTGGAATGGTTCTCCAAGCAGTGACAAGTGAGTTGCCTCGTTGAGCTACCCCTCTTGGCTAAGTTGAAAGTATGACCCTCCTATGGGAAAAGCCTCTCAAAATTCTGGATGTCTCCAGAGCCCAGAGTGCATATTGAGTTCTATGTGACTTGAGATCTGTTCAAAAAAAGAATTTCGGGTCCCGTCTGCAACCAACTCATCTCGGCGATGGACCTCAACCTCGAGAGTTTATCCTTTGTGCTTGATGTACACTGCACACAAAACAGAAACTTATAATTGGCCCAAAATAATCTTCTCATGAAGGTCATTGGGTCCAGGAGATTGCGTTCACTGCTTTGGAAAAATTGAAACAACCTGATCAGCAGAAACTACTAAATGCTAAATGTACAAGATCGTGGTAGCATGATGTAGCATGAAATTGGTGTCCATGTAGAATAAGTGTAATCCAGATGCTAATCAGATCTCCCTAAAACAAAGGCCTTGCTGACCACTCCATATGCAGGTCACCATCTTGAGCTCGCTTCTGCACCAGGATCTTTCATACTGCTTCCGCTCCGCAGTTTATGACTTCCACTTTCCCGGGCGTCACGTTGAGTTTGCCATGCTGCCTTTCTTGGATTCTGTTGCAACGTCTCGGGCGGGGATGCTTCTAAGCATGCTCCCACCGCCCACCAAACCTGATCTGTTTCTGGAAGAGGTAAAAAATGGGGAGATGGCTTGGGGCAGGGAGAATCGGCTGAACCTAAATTTGATGCAGAGTCATCCGATTTGACCATAAAGTTCGAAAGATTGGGTTCATGGAACCTGGCCACAACTTAATGCCAATCGCTCATCATGTTTGGTACGTCTTGTAGTCCAACACCGAGCTGCGCTGCGGCAACCAGGTTATGAAGAGATTAGAGATTTCAATTTATCAGCAGCATTTTTTGCAGTGAGCTGTTCACTCTTGGTGGCTCTCTTAAATCATTGGAATCATGCAAAACGGTAGTGTGAAACACAGCATCTTGAACCCAAACTCTAGAATTGAAGTGCCTCAAAGTGACCATAACTCCGAATAATTCCTATACTTTATGGGTGCCTACAATGGGCAGTTGATGTTTCCTGGGATCAGTGAGGATTTCAGTGCCAGGACATCCCAGCATCAGAAGCTATGACCTCTGTGGTTTCCGCCAAGGAGGGATACCTACCGGACTTTCCAGGGTCTGTCTCTGACTTTCGTTGATCTTGTAGAATTATTTGGACTTCGGAAGTATTTCACCACCTTCATGACTTGATTTCCTTGCTGTAATTGATGCATGCTCACAACAATTCCTGCTGTTTCTTCGTAGGCGAACATTCACAGCTCCTGTTTGCGAAGCAACAACGTGCGCTTGAAATGTAATTTTGCACGACAACAAGGTTGTTCATTTCGAAGCTTCTGGAAATGAAATCTGAATTCAGCACTTGTGCTGTATGTATCATCAGCCAAAAGTATAATCATGGCATCACGGAGACTCGTTGCAAAGCCATAAACATCGAGTAGCAAAGTGGTCCAGAGTTTGCGATTTGGATGCAGAAAATTTCGGTAAGATAAAGGAAGAGTACACTAGACATGATATGGTGTGACTTGCCATAGGCATCCAGGCTGTTGTAATGCATCCTTGCGAGTGTCGTGCTGTTCCAAAGTGCACTCACAGCAGAGTCTCCTTTGGATTCTCCCTCATCTTGAGAGGAATCACAGGTTATGACCCCCGTTACCCCCAACTGTGCAGAGTGTTTCATACCAACTATCTGTCGAGGAGAAAGAGGTGATCACTGTCAAGTCCGATTCCATTTTGGTCGTGGCATGGCACATGAATCCTGCAGGGCTGCTTATGCTTTCCAAAAGTCAATTTGATTTGTGTTTTCTGATGCCCGTACCGAAAAGGCAGACACTTCCTAGTGCAGTGATGCATGTACTCTCTCCAACGACAGCAGGAAGAAGTACTGAAATTCTAGTTTTATGCTGGAAATAAGATGATTGCGCTCATTTCATCTCATTAATCTCGTATTCGATGTTTAAGGACATCTTGACCCCACTAGTCTCGAAGGAATGATAAGTTTTGCCGGAAAACGGGAATAACGGGCATCAGGCAGGTGACTTCGAGTTGACGTTGAAGTCTCCAAGGAATTCTTTTTATGCAGCTTGACGGCACAGATTGTGCCAGTTTTGCATATGGCCTGAGAATGGATACCGTTGAAGTATGCCATTGCAAGAACATTGCCTCCAAAACAGTTCTTGAAATCTTTTGAGTCAGGAGGCAAATATCAAAGTTTTGATTACCTTGCTCTCAAAGTCTCTATGAGCTGTACTCTTGGGGAGAACTTGGCAGAGGCTTTGATATGACTTCCCGGTCGATGTCGGAGTTTGTCATGCCATGTTGCAAGAAACAAAATGGAAATCACAAGCCAAATTTTCGCAGATGGTGTAGATATATTTAGATGGTTTGCCCATGGTTTACTAAGTTTACCCATGTGACCAAAAGCTCCAGAAACCGAGGAAGACTTCACGAGATCGACCAGATCGACCTGCGATTGTGGCCATCCCATGAAACCGGATCGTTCGACGCACGATGACTACGTTCGCGAGCTGGAGGCTCGCTTGCAGGCGCATGCTGGGATGGCTGGGATGTGGCGTTTGTCTTGGTTCATGTGTTAACCCTTCACATGACATCAGATTTCTACTTAGCTCTGTTGCTTTTGCAGCTTTCCTGAAAACATTTGGCTTTCTCAGATCCAATTAATTTGTGGGCTTTCCTTTTTTTAAGTAACACACATTCAATGAAAGCCGCTCGATGCTCATCCCAACTGCATGGTGATCATTCTTGGCCAACTGATGGTTCCGTGGATATTTGTGTCAGGCAGTGCACCGCGCTCCCAGGAAGCTGTCGCGCGCGGTGAAGTGGCGACGTCATCTTGATTTCTGTTCAGAACCTCAGCGATACTCGTAAAATCCGATAAAGTGTCCTCCAAATAAACTCAACTCCTTCTGAAGGAACACAAATGAGTTTCCTTGGAACACGAAACTGTGGGCAGAAAGCTTGAAAAGCGGGTAACGGACGTCATGTCCAGGTGAAGACTAGGAAGACTGGGCTGGTGCCTTGGTACTGCAGACGTCAGCTGGATTCTGTTTCATCTACTAGATTTGTTCGCTGCACAATCTGAAAAGACTGAGTGACTTGAAACGCTGATCCAACATGGGTGAGTTAAATGTTCGAATCAAAAGTTGAATGCTTTGTTAAAATATGTAATCGAGGAGCTCGAATGATGCTCGCTGGCTGGGACTAATCCCCGAGGTTTTCAGACGTCTATTCGATCGGCCAAACCACCGCCATCAATCTCAACAGAGTGACAAGCTTTTTCCTCTTGGGTGCATATGTTATTCTTGAGAGGAACTTGCCCCGGGCCAAGATACGAGGTGTAGCACTGGAGAATGCAGAACCAAGGTTTTTTGTTTAATTTGTTGCCACGAACGAACAAAAACATCCCGTTTGCTTTGGAAGCCCCATGACGGAAGTGCTGCAGACACTCCATGCCGGCACACTTGCATCTTGCAAAGTTGATGCAGACATGCAGCTAGATGTTTTCTAGAAGGGTTCTAGCTTGCAACATTTTTTTCACTGTGCACCCTTCGAAGGAGGGATAGACCATTTTTTTAAACATTGTTCATCAGGTCCAAGGGCCAATTTTTCAACTTTCAGCTTGTGCTTCACAGACACCGCCGAAGAACAATACTGTAGGAAGCTGGTGTTCCTATGTGGCACAAGCTGCTGTTTTGACACGTCTTTTCAAATCAGACAGAGGTCTCAAAGATACTGTCTGTGTATGTCTGTGTCATCAATTTTAAAGTTGTGCAGGGTGCTCTCAGACAAGGGAAGGCATAGTCCCAAGTGCAAGATCTGAAGCCTACACATTGTTGGTCCAGGATATTTGCCATCTACAAGTATTCAAAAGAGCCAAGATACACATCCTTTCTGTGGCATTGCCAAACTTTATTCTCGATTCAGTTCATCTGGGGAACTGTTCCTGAGGTGAGATCACACCTCTCTTGATGTCAGGGCAGCCAGCCTCTTTCCTTTCCATTCGGTTTTTTTGCAGGCAGATCGCTGTGCCCACCCTTGCAGCAAACTCTCATGGGTTTGCATTTTTGGGGAATTTAACATAGTTACGGCTTTCTGTCAATAATACATTGCACATTACACTGCCAAATTCTTTCTTTGAAGGTGGAAGATACAAAAGCATTAAAAAGCAGAGCAAGATCAAGCTACAAAGTCACCAGCATAATACAATATTTTGTAAGTAGAAAATTGAAGAAATTTTTGTGGTTATATTGCGGCAGGACTGTGCCGCAAGTAAATTCCCGAGCAAATTTTGGATTCTTACCCCTTTTCGCCCTATGATTATTTTTTGTTCGATTCTTGCCCTTTCTCATCCTGTGTAAGTTTATTCCTAGAGGCCTCTATACATACCTTTTTTTATATCCGAATATTTCACAAACACAAATAAATATATCACGAAAGGTAGCTCCAGAGGGGCTACCTTGAGTTTTACTTTACGAAGTAAAGGGGAGGGCGGCCAGCCCCGTTACCTGATTCTTCAGGAGATTGCTAGTCATTTTAGTACCCCCCCCCCCACCTGTTTTTGTTTCGACCTAATACCTACATAGGTACATGCATGAGTATTGAGCACGTTTATATGCGCCCTGCAAGGCTCAAGAGGTATATAGAGTAACCCTGTAGACAAGCACGGACCGGCAACAGGCTGAGTAAAAGAGTGCTGTCATTGGGGAAGACGCCTTAGCTGATCTTGAAGTAGACGCTAGGGCCCCTCTTCAAGTGGCAGCGGAGCTGTGATCCCTCATTGAGGGTGAGCTCCAGGTAGAGCCCAAGCAATGGCAAGCCATGGCTATGATGATGATGACTTCGACATTGTCGATGCAAATGAATGGAACCAATATGACTCTTATGCAATGAGAAGAGCACCCCAGCAGACACAGATTCATATGACGCAACAAATGACCACAAAGGTAGCTCCAGCATATGATGGGAGAACCAGCTTCTTTGCTTTTGAGGATGCAATCGATGACTGGTGTGACATTACGGAGTTAGAACCAGAGAAACGTGGTCCAGCCTTGCGCAATCGACTGGAAGGAGATGCTCAACAATACAAGAGACTATTGGATAGAGAGATGCTCAGGGATCCCCAAGAAGGAGTGAATTATTTCAAAAGATTTCTACGACCTCATTTCATCAAAGGTGCCCAGAACGTGTTCTTATACCGTTTCATGCAGTTCATGAAGTTCAACAGAGGAACCATGGATCTTCAGAAGTGGATGACTAGATTTCAACTCACTGGCAATAGACTTATTGAGTCTTGGATGGATTTACTTCCAGAAGCAACAGTGACTAGTCCTGAAGCAATCCTGTTTGTGACACAAAAACGACAAGAACATGATCGAGATCAACAAGAAAGAGCTGATGTAGCAGCAGCCTCAGGAGCAGCCCCTCATGTACCTGTTCCTTGGTCAGATGAACTGGCATTAGTGGCATTCAGACAGTACAATGAGCAGCGTAGACAAGTACAAAGACAAGCATTCCCACTGGGTGAAAATTTGCTAGCATTGATTTTTGTAAGTCTAGCTAACCTGAGTCAAGATCAGAGAAATACACTCACAAGTATCATGACACATCGTGGACGAACCCTCGATCAATACAACATTCAAGAACTACGTGACCTGTTTTTGGAAATGTTTTGCACTACCAAAACAGCAGTTGACAATCCATTGATGCAACCCTCTGGCATGGCACAGAGAAGATCTTTCCTCGTACTGGATGAAGGTGAATTAGAAGGAACCGACGGCTATTGGGCCGAAGATGAAGAAGACGGCGCAGAAGGATTCCTGGATGCTTTAGAAGATGTTTTCTGGGTTTATGATGACGCCAACTTCACATGGTATCAGAGAAGGTTCCAAGGCAAATACATCAGACGAGGCAAAGGTAAAGGAAAGAGAAAAGGAAAAGGAAAAGGCAGAGGAGGACGAAGGTTCTTCAGATCAAGAAAAGGAAAAGGCCGAGGTAAAGGAAGAAGAAAAGGCCGTGCTCACATGGTGAGTGAAGAAGGTTATGAAGAAGAATGGCAAGAGGATGAATGGAATGAAAACTATGACGGCTATTGGGCCGATGATCAAACCTGGAATGAAGGCTATTGGGCCTATGATGATTCATACTACATGGATGAGTATGGATACTTCCAGAAAGGAAAAGGAAAAGGAAAAGGAAAGAAAGGCAAGAAAGGCAAGGATGATGATGGCAAAGGAGGAAAGCCAGGAGATGGAAAAGGCAAGTCGAACTATGTTCAACCTCAGACCACATCAGTTCCTGCCATACAGAATCAACAAACTCAACAAGCTCATTATTCTTCTGCTGCATCAAGTTCTGGTCATGGTTTCTTTGCATTTGGAAGAACTGACCCATTACGTGTTGATGTTGCAGAGACAGAGCCAGCACGTGTTGATGTTTTGACATCCACGTATGAACAACAAGAAGTACAACGACGCACTCGTCGTGGAGGACAGAACCAACGTGATGCAACAGCACATCAAAACAGGAAGGAATGAAAAGATTCCCTGTTCTGGTTGGAGAAGTTGATGCACTTCGACAAGGTGTACAACGACGTCCAGCTCGTGTGCCCAGGCAAGTTGGTCTTCAAGAAGGTGAGGCTTCATGGAAGCCATTGGCAAAAGGCACATCATTGTTTTCATATGGATGCTCTACAGAGATAGAGGAACCATCACAGCAGAGTGCTTTTTCATTTCATACTGTACAAACTGATCTGGCATGTGAGAATGGACTAGCTTTTCACACAGAGAATTCTGCACCACCAACTGTGTGTATTCTGGATCTTGGATGCACAAGAGCTATGGGCTCTCGACGAGCAGTTGAAGCATTTTGCAGATATGTTGACTCACATCCCAACAGTGGACTCTGGTATGAAATTCAGCCAACAAGTTCAAGATTCTTCTTTGCAAATTCACAACAATCAAAATGTACTGAGAAGCTCGTGATATTCATGTATGATCATGGATGGAACACTCAGTTTACAGAATTCGACATTGTCGAAGAAGGTGATGTCCCATTGTTGATGTCACTTCCACAGATGAGAAACCTTGGATTTCAATTCGAACTTACTCCAGAGAAGGCTTATTTGTCCTGTGCACGTATTGGCATGAGAAAAATGGTTTTGAGGACAGCCATTAGCACTCATCTCATTCTCGACCTACAAGATGTAGCATGGTACATGAGCCAAGTTCATTTCAAGACTCCTCAAGTCAAAAGTTTCTTTTCACAACACGATCACTTTGAGTACAGCCAGATTGCTGTCAAACAAGATGTTCATGAAGAAGAAGCTTTGGTGACTGGTGACTATTGGCAAGTGGATCCACTACGTCGTGAACTCATCAGGCACCACAAGGACAAGAGGATGAACTTGCATGAGATGACACGATCAGAGAAAACTCCAATTCCAAAAGATCAACTTCTAGATGAGAGAGAGACACACATGGAATTCCAGAAGAGCAAGAAGAAGGTTCTTCACAAGGACAACTGGCGCACAGAAAGGAAGAGGTTTTCTGAACAGAGTGAAGAGTTCTGGAAGGGCAAGACCATCTACAAGATCAAGGAGGACTACGTGATCCCAGATGACATTGTCAGAAGTGACATTGATCGTGCAAAGCCCTTTCGTGGAAACATTGATGATCTTTTTCACCCTGAGTCAGCCTCTTCAGTGCCATCAGGTGTACAGAAGAAGAAGCCAAGCTCCTTAAAGAAGGAGGAAGGCAAACCGATTTCAAATGGACCAGGCTCGAAAAAGATTGAGGTAGGTCCACCTGCAGCCAAAAGACACGTAGGTAAGCAGAAACCTCAGGTTGTCGATGACTCTCAATCAGGTTCATCAAGAAAGAAGGTTGTTGTCTCCTATCCCAAGCTTGATGAAGAAGATGAGCTTGATAAGGTAGCTAGGGAGTTAGGTTTGGACAAAATTGATTCAGATGAACCTCAAGTCATTGAACCAAAACATTCTGCACCTGCGCGCAACCGTGGTAAGCAAGATTCAGAAAGTCAAGTTGAGAAACTAGGTAGTGATGCTCTTGAGCCTATGCGAGTTTCAATTCCACTGCCTGGTAGTGAAGTGCAAGCCATGACACCAGCATACAGAAAGATGCTCAGGAAACTGGAGGATAGTGTGGAACTTTACAAACTTCACATTAAACACTATCACATGTCTCCTACTCAATTCAGACGAAGGACTTCCATGTTAGGACTTCCTGACTCGGTCTATGAGAAGTATGATGAAATGTACAACAAGTGTCGTGTGTGTAGTACTTCAATTGCACCACCGCCGCGAGCCAGAATTTCAGGCATACGATCCACCAACTTTGGAGATGTTATCTTTGT